TACTACTGTAAATGGCACACAATCACTTCTCACAACGCAAGAACCACTTTTCATACTGTCGTTTTGCTTTTTCACTCCCACAACGAAAGAAATGGACGCATGCTGTGCTGTGATGAGTTGGTAGAACCGATGATAACCTAGCTGGGTCAAGCCTGCACGTAACGAAGCAGGATGTAACGGTCGGTCATTTGTGGGAATATCTACAGTAGCAAGATCCTGAAATGTGGTATCTGGCTGGCGGGGTGACTAAGTCTACGTACAGCTTTGTTGCGGAGTCACCAAACCGTCCACCTTCTGTTAACATGAGAAATATGCGCCTGAGCAGTATACGGCGATCACATAAAGGCATAAACTGAGAGGTATAACTCAGAAAAATAAAAGTACAGACAATTTTTAAACGGCACAAACTATTGAGACCGATTGGGAGGCATTAAGTGGGGGGCTAACTTAACGGCGGAGTTACGTGACCATGTAAATAAGCAAGGACAGTTTTAACGGCACAAACGATTGCGATTGGTTTGGTCGAAATCAGACTAAAATTGGAGGGGGAGGGGCAACCATACAAACATTAATATCTCGGAAACAAAAGCAGCAAAGAGGACAGTTTTAACGGCACAAACCAGCACAAACGCAGCACACACGATTGCGATCGGTTTGGTGGAAATCAGACACAAATGGGGGGCCAACTTCACGCTGGTGTCACGTGACCATGTAAACAAACATTAATATCTCGGAAACTAAAGCAGCACAAAGGATAGTTTTAACGGCACAAACCAGCACAAATGCAGCACACACGATTGCGATCGGTCTGGTGGAAATCTGACGCTAATGGGGGGCCAACTTCACGCTGATGACGTCACCATGTAAACCAGTGGTGTAGTGTACATTTTTGTAGTGGGTATACTGTGCTTAGAAAAAAAAAGTACACTGGTTCATGCAATGCAGTCAAGAATTTAATTTAATTTTTTGCATATTTAACTTTGCAAAAATTCTCAGATGCTTGTATTTGAACTGGATAAATGTACAACAACCATAACAGAGCTGCAGGAATTGTATTGAAAACATGGATACAGCATATATTCAAAACATGTTCAAATACTAAGACGTAAAGAAGTATATTAATTGTTCAAATACAGATTGAACCAAATGAATGTGTAGATCTATAAAATGTTCCAAAAGCGTTTGTTCTCGGGCTGCTTAGGTTTCACTTGTCGTCGTGTCTGTGTTGCAGAGTGGTGCTTTCGTAACCACGTTGTTACATACTTCCTAGGCTCAAAAAGATTAACAGGAGGGCCATTTATATTGATCATCATGAGATGACTAACATTTGACAGTAACAGAGAAGACCTTTTATCAGTGCATACATTGTTCATTAGGCTAAAGCCTCTTTCACATTCAGCTGTGCCACATGGAATGGTTTTCATGCAAATGATCAGAGGTTTAAGGTTTTCAGGCTCCTTGTTTTGGTCCTCAATAAAGTCTCTCATGCCATTGACAGCCTGGTTTTCACAAAGATTAAATCTCTTGCAAAGTCTCTTTATTTCTGTCTCACCATATCTGATACTGGGGTTTGATGGCCAACTGGTTTTATCAAGTATGCTCAGATCACGTAGGATTTCCCCTTGAAAGGAGAGTCGCTTCTCCAAATTACTGATCAAGCTTTGCAGGAACTGATTTGGAACTACTGATTTTAGTTTGGGGTTTGGCTGTAAGGGAACAGACCCAAAGTGTCCTGAAGCCTTTGCTTCACTGGCCTCTACTGACTTTTCCCCTGGAGAGTCTTTAAAGGACCTGAGAACACGAATAGTGCGTTTTAGTAGTTGTTCAGCTTTTAAAAGCGTGATAGACTGTGCTTGGAGCTGCTGGGATAAGTTTGATAGTTCAAAAAGTGCATCATACATTAGTCCTAGGTCAGAAAGAAATTCTGTGCTTTGCAAACGATGTGCTAGTCCTTTATACGTTTGCCTCTCTTTTGCGCTCCTTGTTTGGTCCACAGAAGCATTTTCAAAGTGTTTGTTGAGCGCACCATAGGACTTCCACACTGCTTTCACAGTGCGGAAGCTGCTTGCTACCCATCGGGTGTTCAAAATTCTGCCAATTTGTTGAACGTGAGATCCCACTTCTTGTGCAGCTTCCAGAAGTTCTCTGGAGTTTTTACTGGACTGGCTGTATAGATTGTGAATCTTTTCCATGAAAGCTTTAAAATGATTTACAGACACAACCTTGTCTACTGCATCTGATACAGCCAGCTCCAGTCGATGGTTCATACAGTGCCATGTGAAAAGGTTAGGATACCTTGCAGTCAGCCTGGTTGCAACACCTCAGTTCCTGCCCAACATAACACTAGCTCCATCAGAAACAAATGCAATCCAGTTTTTTTGAAGCCACTCTTCACTGAAGCCTGCAGTGTCCAAACAAGTTAGTAAAGCTTTCTCTATACTTTCTGCAGTTTGGCTCTCCAACTCGACCAGCTCCAGGAATACAAATTCAGGCGTGGCTCCATCAATTGAGGCCTTTACACTGACAATCATAGCAGATTTGTGACTGGCAGATGTAGCCTCATCAATAAGAACAGATAGTTTGTTTGAAGAAGACACAATGCTGTTCACAATTTTTGTCTGCATTTCCCTTGCAACATGTTCAACAATTTTTGTGCAACTATACCTGGAG